AGTATACTGTCAACAAATATGGACTTGAACAACTCTCTCGGTGACGCGAAAAATGTAAGCCCTATTCGCCCCGCAAGACCATATACCTTGCACTTGGAGTGTCTAATAACGAATAAAACCATCTCAGGCAGGGCTCTCGACCCCTTTTGAGGTTCTTTCACGAATCTTCGACTTTCCGGATAAAGTCCAACTTTCCTGGTGGTATACTATCGGGCCTACTTTTGCCAAAATGATGGTCGATTCAGACTACAGCGTACACAATCAGTACGAATACTTGTGCTTCATCTACAGGTACCTCCTTCCTGTATTAAAGTCTCTGCATGCCCCGACCGGTAAGACTGCGCTGGAGAATACGCTTGTTAGCAGCACACCGTACGAGCATAGCATGAATTACCAGGCATCTAAATCGACTACGCGCCTCTACCTCGAGCCCACCAGTCACTTGGACGGGACGATCCAGGATCCATGCAACAGACTTGCCGTCCAAGCGTTCCTGAATAGGATCCAGACAGCCCTACCCAACAGTGGGATCGATACGACCCTGTTCTACTTCTTTGCAGACAAGTTGGTCTTGCCGAGGGCAGACGAAGCCCGAATTCGAAAGACAGACATAGTTGATAAGCTACCAAACCAGATGCAATGCTCCACTGCGTTCGAGCTCAAGGACGGGAGGATTGGGATGAAAACGTTTATGTACCCGATGATGAAGGCTCTTGCCACGGGTAAATCCGTCACTAGGGTTCTTTTTGATGCTCTCCAGACACTCCCGGCTTTGGAGGGAGGTGCAGCATATATGCCTGCAATTTTGGCTATCGAAGAGTACGTGTATCCACTCACGGACAAATGTCCGTCACCGACGATGTCGACCTTCTTCGTGGGTTTTGATATGGTTGCTCTCGAGCTTGCCCGAATCAAGGTATACATCTCCGAGGCAGAGGTCAGCTGGGCGAAACTGGCGGACCTTTGGACCCTTGGCGGCCAGCTGACAGACCCTGACATTGCAGCCGGACTGGAGTTGCTACACCAGGTCTGGTTGCTACTCAAAATCCCAGAGGGAATTCGCAGACTATCAGACGCTCCACCGGATCTTAATGACACAGGAACCTTGAACCAATTGCTTATGAGCTACGAGGCAAAGCGTGGTTGCCCGGAGCCTACTTCAAAAGCATATATCTCTCTCCGAGGCTTTGATGAAAACATCAAATGTGAGAGGATGATCTCTATATTCAACCATTTCGGATGGACGAAACATGCGGCTTCGTACCGTGATAATATACAGTCATACTTGTACGTGAAGCTTCCGAATCTATATGATACTTAGTACCTAACCTTGATACAGCCCGTCCTTCGATTTCCAGAAGACCACTACCATACAATCTTGGCTTTCGTTCTCGTACAGCAAAAAGACGGGTCCCTACATGACAATGTATTTTAATGAGTTAGATACTTCTCACACTTTTCACGCATTAGGATGATAGGCGCTGGAGTTGAGGGGTATTATAGAAGGAACTACATAGGAAACAATGAAACAGAACTTCGGGGAATTAAATGAAGGCGACATTAGTTACTCCCCCTGTTGATTGCGGCAGGATGATGTGTATGTACTAAGGGATTGACGCCAGATGGTGGCAAAGTGTCGGTGTAGCGTCTTCATGCATGCAGAGGGGCGACGCATCGTGATGCTTGGAAGGAAGGAAGGCATTATGCATAGCATTCCCGCACCTGCCTGTTTACTATAATCATTCGTACTAGCTCCTGTGCACTATTGGCTTCTAGGAAAACGCTAGCATACAATAGTCAACGTGCTATGTGATTCGGGTGACACGTCCAATTTTGCTTCTGTGGTCAGGGATTCAAAATTAACTTCTACTAGAAGTTAATTACACGTATGGAACACAAGCGAAGAATATGATCTATTGTTTCCTAGCCAGCCACAACTACAGATCTACACCAACCGCTCTCGGATGATCGCTATCCTCTTTTGCAGTCCCCGTCTCGCTTCTCCAGTCCAACTTTACCCCCTTTTCTTCTGCCCTCCACTCCTGGAGCCATTTGACGACATCTTCTGGTCTGCTCTGAACACCGACAGCATGCCAGTGTTCCGGCGACAAGAAACCTTTGCCCACAACAACCTTTTCAATCCAGTTCACCAGACCGTCCCAGTAACCTCCGACGTTCAGGAGACATACCCCTCGAGAATGGATACCAAGCTGTTGCCATGTTGCTATTTCCATCAACTCCTCGATTGTACCGAGCCCGCCACTCAAAGCCACGAAACCACTTCCTGGACCGCCACATTGAACACGCCGTGCCATAAGCATTTTACGTGTATGCATATCTGGCACAACGTCAAAGCGTCCGTACGTTGTGTTATCCCGTTCCTTGCCCGTTTTTCCACGCTCGTATGCCACCAGTGCGGCTGGGATATAACCCTGTACCGCGTCTGGCCCTGATAATTTCACCACCTCGCGTGCAATTGCGCCCATTATACCAGTCGTTCCACCTCCATAGACGAGGTGAAATCCATGCTGGTGAAGGACCCTGGCAAAAGCCCTAGCAGCGTCTAGATATGCTGAATCGTTTCCGGGTGATGATCCACAGCTAGGACTATCAGTATCTGCTGCCTGTTGTGCGCGAATTGGTACCACACGTACTATACGCAAACAACGGGAGGGTTAACCTTCCCCGCTGATGGAGATTCTTGTGAGGGAAGAGAAATAGGCGACATTGGTCTGTTAAATCACACTCTCACGTAAACGAGGACGAGGCAAGAAGCTAGGAAAGTGAAAGTAATGGAGAAGCATGCCGCGTAGTTAGTGTAGAACGGCCTTTTGTATATCATTTCCGAAGGGTTGTTCAGGCCGAAAAGACCTCCCGAACTACTCCGTACATAGGGCAGCTGAGGCAAGTGGCGACATGAGGCAAGGGGTACGTACTAGTATATGGAATATACTTTACATGTCTGCCTTTTGTTCTATTTTTTGTGTATTCTAGACATTGTTTTAATTTAAAATAGCAATTAATCTGCCCCCGCTCTAGTCACTTCAAAGACTATACCTAAGTTCACATCTTTGTTGTTATCATTCGCTTTCTTCCAGTTCTCTATTAGGCTATTATAACACTCTAAAGATCCCAGATGTTTGCTCCGGTTGCCAGCATCATAGCCCTCGTTGGGCCTACCGCTGTTGGGAAGACAAAGCTGGGCGTGCAGCTTGCAAAATCGCTTCAAAGCGAGGTCATTTCGATTGACAGCCTCCAGTGTTACAAGGATGGCAGCATCATCAGCGCCAAAGTGAAGCCTGAAGAGGCAGATGGAATAGTTCACCACCTCGTTGACTATGTCGATGCACAAGACGAGCCCCACACATTTATCCAGGATGCAATCGATTGTATCCGGGACATCCACAGTCGAGGAAGAGTTCCTATCCTTGTTGGAGGATCAACTTCTTTGACAATCCCCATTTTGCAAGCCGCAGTCGAGGACGGGAAAAATCCGTTCATCATTATTCTCGGGGATACCCCCTCGAACCTTGAAATTCGTATCCGAAAACGCGTGGATGAAATGGTGCAAGAAGGGTTATTGCGAGAATTATTCGGCCTCTATAAGCTCGAAAAAGCTCTACTTGAAGGGCCACACTTCTCGCGTGGAATATGGAAGGTGATAGGCTATCGAGAGTTCTATCCATGCTTCACTATGCCGAGAACGGACCGTGAACAGTTTTCAGAGCTGATGGCACAATGTTTGGCCAGGCTCAAAACGGAGACCGTTCTCTACGCCAACAAGCAAGTGAACTGGGCATGTGACACACTCGTTCCTTTCTTGCAGACGATGAAGATACCGCATGTGAGGTTACAAGTGGATGGACAATTTACTGGGGAGAATGTGATGGCGAAAGCGGCTCGGTCCTGTGCGTCCCACTCGGCTGCATAAATTGGATGTCTATTATTTATGGCATGAGCCAAGGCTGAACGGGGAGTTCTTCTGAATAATAAATATTTTCCAATATGCTGCAACCACAGAATTTGCCCTGCCAACAATAAGGGCGCATGTCTGTGGTGGGTAATACTCGGTAAAATAATCATGTCCATATCCCGCATTCATGCAGGACTTTAGGGTTGTTTAGTGACAATCCGTGAGCCCAGGCCTAGCATAGGCCGAATTCTAGGCTGGCTGAAAGAAGTCCCAGCCTCGAACCCTAATTCATAAAGACAGCCCCCCCTTACCTGGTTCTTGTTTAGGAACTCAGATACATGATGTTCTAGATCTCGTGGCCCCTGATCTTAATCGTGACATGAACAGTAAGAATCCCGTTTTCATCTGTGCCTATTTCATAACAAATATAGTGTTCGTGTTGTTGGCGCTCTTCAGGTGGATCTTAGAGACGTGTAAATTCTATCTGATCGTTGATCCTCGGTTCAAGGAGTATAAGAAACTGTAAATGCGACTCTGGGAACTCTGTAGTGCACGTATAACACAATTGACCTTGAAAGGGCAGGTTGCTCGTGCTGTGCAAGGTCCCACTTCAAACTTTGGCCCTCAATAGTGACTGATAGAGGGCGGGACCTGATATCCCTCAGATTGCCCAGACAGATGCACTGTCAGCAAATAGAGTTGCCGAGGCCTGACGATCATCAAACCACCTGCACTCTTTTCTCGATCTCCAGAAATTTCTCTCCTGTTTCCTATCGTGGCGCCAAGAAGATATCAGTCTCGACGGGCACTTATTTTCAATCGCACTTTTAGTTTGTCGCCTCTTCAAGTATGATCCTTACCATCGGGAGCGTTGATATGAACCCGTCAGGAATATCCAGTCACGGTCAAAGTTGAAATTCTCGGCTTAATGGATAACTTCGTGCTGATTAGATACGTCACTGGCGTATGTCCTAACGAAAACTATGGATGACTGCGGACCACAACTCGCGGCTAAAATATGGATTCTGCATATGACTGGTATAAAATGGGTCTCCCAAAGATGAACAAACCTCAGCAGGGCAATGACAGCTATATACATACATTGAGTGGATCCTCCACATATCTCACATAATACTACTTATTCAGCTCTGGATGATGCACTCAATATACATGGGTAGCTGAAACCGACCTGTTTAGGTTTGTGGATCCTCTGGGAAAGATCATTGGCATTAGAATGAAGTACAGACCGGATATTGGGTTCCCATTTGACTTACTTGGAATACAGCCCAGCAGCGCGAGTGGTTTCTGGACTCTGGTGCTAGTTTTCTCTTCCAATGAAATCAGCCGTTTCTCCTTCGAAAGCTCATCCACAATGGTTGACTGCACATATCTCTTGCTGTAGTCACACCGGCCAGTTTCGATACTGAGGGTATAGCTTTTGCCTTTCTTTTTTGTTTTTAATTGAACCCCGGGAGGGACGGCCATATAGGTGAGCACGAAGCTGCAGCTTATTTTGCTGTACAAATAATGAGGTAAAAGTCAAGGTATGCCTCTAGGACCTGCTTTTGCATACCCAAGCCAACTAGTCATCCTCTTCCTCCAGGGCAAGCGGACCATGCGAGGAGTATAGTATGCTTGCGACCTGCTCCAGGTTCAAAGCGGCATGCCCTTCCAGTTCTCAGGGAATGTCTATGAAGAAAGAAGGACAGAACCTGGGCTTTAATCAGCCGCAGCACTAGAATCAGTAAAAGAATTCGTGAAAATACAACGTACAAGAGACTAAAAATTTAAACTCTATTGTTGCAGATTGCCACGATTTGAAATTACCACACTAAACATCTACACGGTGTAGTAGTAGGACAATGTAGCCACAGATTCAGGCTCATGAATTGGCAGTCCTATTTCCAGTATAATAGTCGGCATCTACTTAGGATTTGATTCTGCATACTGCTCTGATCTTAACAAATCAAGCGCCACGGAGGCCTCCATTCGGCTCGAGGGCAAAAATCTCATCAACCCCCGGATGACTGGGACAAGGCAAGCAAGTGATCGGCTGTGCTCCTTTCCATTGAGCCTTCGTTCTAATTCAGACTGCTGACACTCTTCCAGGTAAATTAGCAAACTCAACTATATCGTGTTCGTATGGAATCTATTTACTCACTTTCTCTAGGTTCCAACATATGCTTAGAGTTCAATCGCATGCTGTCCCATCTTGGCTGTCAGTCCTTTGGTAAGTCCTCCACAAAACCAATCATCTGTACAACCAGGACATCATCGTCTCCTAGATATTGGAATGGATATGTACCACATATAAACGCATAAATCTCCATTGCAAACCTTAGCATCAAACTTGCGACAGACACGGTAGGGCTACTTACCATACAGCCTGGATGCCATAAGTTGACCCGGTGGTCAAAGCATTCGAGGAAAATTGTCTTGGGCACCCGTAATGGCCCTGACTGAGCAAGTTCTCTGAGCTCATCTCCTTGGAAGAACGCCTCTCCAAAGTCAAGAATGCGAAGGTCTTCATCATCTTCATCTATCCACTCGTCCCATTCTGTGGCTTTTACTATATGTTTCGGTAGGCCTTTATCCAGAGTCTTGCCATCAAGACGAACCAGTTCTTCTGATTCTGGCATCCCAAGGACTTCGAAGAGCTCATCTTTGGTCACATTCGAGAGGTGGCTACAGCTGAAAGCGACGTTTCCACCGCGTATATCTGTCACTGCGTAAGTACCATGGCGTAGGGACAAGAATGAGTTATCACAGGGTATGGAAAGATAGATTAGCCTTTGTCTCACCTCCATGTCCCATACCAGCATCATGAATGAATTTAATGGCTTCTAGAAGCTGTTCTGACATGCGAAGGATAGTCTCCGGCTCAAGGGTATCCCCAGAGCTGTAGTAGTCGCGAAGAACCCTGTCAACAGAAGGTCCAAGCAACTCAAAGACAAGACACTGGTGGATTCCGTTAGGCCCCTGGTGAGTAAAAGAGTCGAGTAACGAAACTATATATTTTGAGGGTAGCCTTCCCTGCGAACGCTTTTCAAGTAGGTGTATATTGTGAAGTTCTTCGGATCCCTGGGAGATATCCGCTCTCAGAACTTTTAGCGAAACCCACTGGTTTTTCCTGTTCTACGTTAGTAAAAGCCATATAGGCGATTATGCGCAGCTAACTTTCTGTCATTTGCAAGCCACATGGTGGAAAATCCCCCCCCAACCTAATCTATAGTGTATTTCGTAGTGACCGTTCTTGAAGGTTGTCGCCAAGGTAGACTGGATGGTACCCACCAGGCCGATACCTCGATAACTGCTCCTGTGTGTAGAGGAGATTACTTTGCCGGTACAAAGATAAGTCTTCCATCGCCACGATTAGAGGGGGCAACAATACAAAGCAACGAACGTGGTTGAATCCAGGGTTTACCAGATTGGACTGCAGTTTTAGTGATTGACGTTGATACCAAAATTAAGCCCCCGCCAAGACGTCTAGACGTGCTTATCTAACCAGTTTCCAAAAGCATACTGCATAACTACATCCAGCTGGCGAGTCGAGAGTGAATGGAATGGTTTACGACGTTCAGAAGGAGAAACATGGAGTCATGTTAGCGGCATATAAAAGTTCTTTCCGGGAGTCCCAGCTATGATGACCGAATTAGCACCTTGATCGCACCGCATGTTGGATCTGCTGCCGTCTCAAACGCCGTACGTGCGTCCTCCAGTTCAAACTCATGGGTGACCAATTTGCTCAGGTTGACCATTCCGCTCTGCAAAACGCGAATAGCCCTCGGCCACATATTTACGTATCTCTGCTGAAACTGGAGCTCAACCTCCTGAGCGCTCATCCTCATAAAGGGGATCTGCAAATGATCCTTCCCCACCCCGATCACGAACACCTTTCCACCGAACTTGACGCTCCATACTGCTGCCGCCAAACTCGACTCTGTGCCAGTGCATTCCAAAGCAATTGCCACCTCCACACCCTCGCCCATGAGTTTGTTGACCCGCTCGGCGCACTGCTCTGGACTCTCCGTGGGACGCACGAGACAAGTTCGTACACCGGGCACATACTCAGCCGCAAACTTTAACCTTGCCTCATTGATATCTGTGATAACAAGAGGCCATGCCCCGGCTGCTCGACAAACCTGCAGCGTGATCAACCCAATTGGCCCGGCACCACAAATCAGCACCGGATCCCCGATCGTCACTCCGGCCCTCGTCACACCCGTGAGCGCCACGCTGAGCGGTTCCAACAACGCCCCGTCATCGAAAGACAGCGACCCAATCTTATGACACCATACCGCTGGGTGGTTGACATAGGTGCGTAGTAACCCGTGCTCGGGCGGGCTCGACCGGAAAATCAAACTCTTGCACCCGTTGTACCGACCCGTCAGGCAGGGTTCGCAGGCGAAGCAGACAATATGGGGCTCGACGGCCACGCGATCGCCTACTTTGTGCGATGTAACGGACGGGTGAACGGCAACCACCTCGCCGGCTGATTCATGGCCTAGAATGTGTGGAGCGGTTACTACCCAGGGGCCGATGCCGCCGTGTTTCCAGAAGTGGACGTCTGAGCTGGTTTCCAGTTAGACGGGGTAAGGGCGTGCAGTATATCTACGAGGAGGCTTACCCGCAGATCCCGCTACTTTTGATGGCGACTGTGATTTCTCCTGGCTGGAGAGTCGAGCCGGCCTGAATGGTGTCTGCTGAGGGCTCTGCCTCGGCGATATAAATGTTGTGGGAGGGGTCAGTGTAAACACCACGGTTGATGGCCATCTTGTTCGGTGCTCGGTGGACTATTTATTACAAGACGGCATCAAACTGGCAAGGAAGACCATGGTCTTCATATAGGCTTGCGACATAGTATTAATGTTGTTTGTTCTATCTTTCATCATGTATGTCGAGTGGCATGCTCATCTTCCATTACTTCGTTGCTATCAGCATTCTGTCTATTGCACGACACAACGTATGACTCGCATAAATTACCGTATCTGGTAATTCAGCCGATTATTGATCTCAACGACCTAAATTTCCGCAACAGGTCGAATCCAGGATCCCCGCTCCTGCAAAAGTTTCCTGAAAAGGGAAGTTGATGCTTCTAGCAGGGGGAATGTGGCGGCAAGATCCCTCTGCACTCCTATGGGTAAATGAATATGACTTTCCAAGCTGGTCACAGTCTGGATGGCATACTCCGCAACAGCTACATTGTATATACCCAATGGATAGTGGCTCGTGGCCGCTGGTGAACCACCAGACTACTACTAGTTATCTCGAACACCCTATCCCAGAGGCGCATGATCTTGAGCTTCAGGCTCTTTGGATTTCGCTCATAGAATGCCTCTTAGTAGACATTGCTCATTGCAAACATATCTAACCTGTCTCGCTAGGTATAAGAGAAGGCATGATTTCAGTACGCAGTACTCTTAGTACCGCTCCTTCATATACTCTGACTTGCTTAGTATACGTACTTCGATAGGCACAAACAGCGGCACTGATAATATTACAACAAGACAGACAAGGATGATGATCTTAAACGCTTATGTCTTGAGTATAAAACAAGAATCTTTAATTTTATATCCCTGAGAAAGCTGTTAGTTGCACCGACCGATATCAAGACTAGGGTGCATGATTACTACCGTCTTCTTGGTGGAGGAGCCTGGCCTGGCCCTAGGTCATCCATGCGGTATGCACTTTTATCGCAACATCTATTCTTAATGTTTTTTATTCTTGTCCACATTTTGTTTTGGCCTAGTGTGTGAATATCAGTGCAGTGCCCCCATGCCTTGGTACTTGTGCTCCAGGACACAAGCCTCGCTGCGCTGTACCGCCAGGGTCTAGGGTAATCAGGACTATCTATGTTGACGACAATTCTTGTTCAAATCACATTAGAACTCCAGTATATATATCCAAAACAACCGTAACTCTGAAAATGCCAATTTTACACGGTCTCGACTTCTTGCTTAGAAGTCGAATCTTTGAGGTCATCAATTCCATCACCACCATCCACATTCACCACACGGCTGACCCCAAGCTCGTTGGCAATACGCTCGCGTTGGTGACGATCCTCGGCGCTGACCTCGTCCGCAAACACGGCATCAATCTCCTCCAGTGACAGGCCCTTCAGCTCTGGCAAAACGAAGTAGACCCAAGCCAAGCCAAGGAAACAGAAGCACATGAACACGATCCAGGTCTTGTACCCGATATTGGTGATCATGACAGGCGTGACTTGTGCAACGGTGAAGTTCATGATCCAATTCACGGCAGAACCAATCGCGACTCCTTTGGCGCGGATATCGAGCGACGATGACTCCGCGGTGACGATCCAGCCGACAGGTCCATAGGGCATGGCGTAATTGACAACCACCCAGTAAACCAGGAAGATAGCTCCGTTAGCGGCGGCCTTGTGCTCGTTGAACTTACCCCCGTAGGTAGCAATGAGAGCGGCAATGATGGCGTGGGCGATGCCCATGTTGGCCAAGCTCCAGGCAAGCATTGGCTTACGACCAACTTTGTCCACGATCAGCGCACCTGGGATGGTGAAGACGAACATCAAGATGCCCACAATCCCGGTAGCCAGCAAGCCAATGCTTCCACCCGAGAGCCCGACTTGTTCAAAGATGGTCGGCGCGTAGTAGAGGATGGCATTGATTCCTATTCCCGTCAACGTTGTTCTGAAGCCGTTAGGTCGAAACTGTAAACTTACCGGACCATTGACCAAATGCTTGACGCCCGCGCCGAGACCAACACGATGCAGAGTGACCTTTGTTGTAAAGATCCGCTTGTACTCCAGGGCTTCCGTGCGCCATGTCTTCTCTTCGGTTCCATATCGAGATCGAGCGGTCGCGCGGTCTGCGTAAGCTTCAACCTTAAGCGAGCGATATTCATACTGAACGGCTGGAGAGTTTGCGTCTTGTTTTCGGAGTCGAGCCAGGACGGCGAGGCATTCTTCTTCCCTGCCAACGAGCATGAGCCATCGAGGTGAATACGGGAGGAACCACGACCCGATGCACAGGATAATAGCGGGGACGAGCTGAAGGGCCAGGGGAATCCTCCATGCCGCGCTCGACTGATTGGGGTAAGTCGTTCCACCGATGTAGTTCGTGCCGTATCCAATCCAATACGAGATCATGATTCCGACTGATGTGAACATTAATGGAAGGGCGGCACAAGAACGCGGTGGAACATCACGTACAACAGATCGCTACTTGCTGTAGACCAACCAGGGTTCCTCGAATGGATGCCGGCGCCAGCTCGGCGTTGAACATAGGCACAACCACGGACAGCCCACCGACACCCATTCCGGCAAACCAACGCCCTGCTGCAGTCTGAAGTCAGTACCCCAGCAAATCTTTGGGGCCCCGCGTTCTCACTTACAGTAAATCAGAGCCACATCGGTGCTCGCGCCAACCTGAAGGGCGACACCTAGCATGAAGACAACACACCAGGCTGAAATGGAGAGCTATTCCGTATTAGAGGCTGCGTCTATAAATGGTCTGTGACCAAATTCACCTTCCTAGAATATTTGTCTGCGAGGGGACTGCTACTCAACGCTCCTACCATGGCTCCCAACTCTGGACACAGACAGTATTAACCTTGTTGATCATCGGGATATTCTTCTCCACAACGAACATACCTAGAATTCCAGTGAGAAGACCTTTGGTGGAGGAATTGTTGAGCTAAGAAGGGCATTATCTTAGTTAATCGAGGATAATTTCAGCGGCATGGACAACTCACGGTGGATGCAAAGCGGTACTCAAAGTCAGCCATGACTTGGACCTGACTGAATACCCCCTGGATGAACGAAGCTGTTAGAGGGAGCGCAATCGACGGGTTGGCATACATGACATGGATTTACCTGATTGTAGCCATAGAGAACACCTCCAAGAGAAGCGAATAAGGCCAATCCCAAGCATCGTTTGTTGTTCATGAGCCCACTCACACCAGTATCAGCACCAGTCACTTCGGCGAGGCCAGTGACGGAGCTCCGTCTCGAAGCGGCTTGCATCTTTGTCGTAATTTCCAGATGAACTGACTATCATACAAGTTGTCCACCGCATCCATGGCAAACCCCGGACGACATTGTGCCTTTATAAATCGTGCTCGAACCCCAGGTGAGTGGGACCAGCATCCCCACAACCCCGTAGATGGAGAGACGCTTGTCCATAAAGAGTAAAATTGGCGGAGAAAAGAAGGAGTTTGTTGTCAGTGCTGTTGCCACTGATTTAAGTAGAGCAATATGTCCTTTCATTGACTCTGGACGACTGCACCATGCGATGTACCCGGGGTGCAACATGTGGCTGAGAAGGTCGAAGAAACAGCCACTAACCAGCAAAGATACATGGGACGATGACATGCGTATCCAGGTCTCGGGAAAGATATTTTTACTTATTTGACAAGGAGTTTCTTTCCCAAATAGGCAAACTTGGCGAACCAGAAGAATGTCCATATTGGAGGAATGTTTACCCTTCTTGCATCGTTTCCACTTTTCTTCCTGTCGAGAGCCAATATGCGAAGTCAGACTAGAACGCATAGTCTTAAGGCTATGGTCTGGGGAATCTAGACGCTATCACGAATGCGTTTCCAATATCATAAGGTCGAACCGGGTGCCCTGATAATTTTCACATATCAAAGGGTAGTGCTAATGTACCGGAGATATTGTACCTAGAGACTTTTAGCTATCTGTGTCGTCATCAGAAACCTTCTAAAGATCATATCATGAATCACTGCACCTTTTGTCTGGCCCTTTGTAGGAAGAGAGTCTCAGCGTGACTAGGTACTGATTTTACTCAGACCGTACACCCTTACAATGGGCGGGCAAAAGAATACACGTATAAAATAAGCCTTGCTCAAAGGAAATACCCGCCGCCTACTGAAAACAGTCGACCAACTGGAAAATGAAGTGTATATGTATCTCTACATACCTCGATATTTATAAAGAGCTTCCCTGCAATGATATGACACTGTAAGTGCGAATCACAGTGAAGAGCTCCTCGCGTGAGTAGGTTAGCATGTCTCTTTGCGATGAAGATTATTTTGGATTCCTAAAAGGGATCGGCTTGGTCGATGGCTTAGACAAATATATACTCGTAGAGTTCTTGCTCCAGTTGGTATTTTATGCATATTTTCCCTGAATTTCTCTGTACATTAACTGGGATAATGGAATGAGAAATTATAACACAGATGAGAACGTGCTTTACTTCTGGCTAAGGGTTGATAATAGGTCGTCTTCTTTTTAGACCGCGGAATGTGCATCTCACTGGTGTATGGCTTGTGTGACTACCGAGGGCATAGCCAATGATTGTTGGTGGTGGATGTACATTCCGGCGCCGACAGTCGATCCTCGGGGCATGCCGTCTCGATCCTTCTCATGCATCGCATTATCTGACTAGCTCAATGTTTCAGATCCGTTAAATCTGTCCATGCTTTTTTTTTATAATAGTTATTTAATTTTATAATTCAAGTGAAATACCTGGGTAAGTACCTGTAGGCACCCTCCCAAGTGAAGAAAAGGGAGTATCAAAACCCAGCAGTTACAACATACATCTCCCTTTCGTCAGATATCGAATGTTGAGGTGATACGAAACCTGCTTCGTTCGGGACCTGGGTGGTATACCATTTTTGTATAATCAGATATAACGAAAGCGGTAAATGAATCAAAAAGAACTGATTGTTATTGAGTACCAGCCCAGTCGGTGTTAATTTTGATCAACACTCTCCATGTGGCTTCTTGGAGGTCTCGAAGTTTTCTGTGGGGTAGATGAGTAAATGATTTCGCGTTTTCTTTCCTTCTCTTTATCTCTATAAGGTACTTGGAGGAGTGGTCGAATATCGCTTCTGTGTAGTGGTGAACTTAGTATAGTAATCCCGTAGCACAGTGGGTCCCTGCTCCCGGGTAGTTCCATGCGGGGGCGGAGGACCTACCTGTTAGGATCAGTCTCCGAGGTAGCCGAAGCGGATGAAGCACTCAAACAGGTAACCCTAGTATACCAACCATCGATTGACAGCGCGCAGCTCATAAATGGCCCGACACTGGGTGGGCGAACATAGCCAAGTATTCTGTATTAAACCTGGCCTACTCATTATCGTTGCCAGTACTATATCTTGTTTCCTATCTTCTGAAAGCGGACAACCCTCCACCGTTCAACTTTGTTAATGATATCCAAACTCGCGTCTTGTTAATGCCAGAGATATCTGTATTAAAGACAAGAAAGCCCACAAATAAGAGAGTCAACATTGGGGACTCCGGTGGCTCCTTGCCTGGGGCGGAACATCCGGCGTTGCCGGATAGATTTCGCCAGCCGAAATGTGACCTGACACCGTGTGGACCTCGTCTGCAGAATCTCTCTAGAATTGAAGGAAACTCCATCCTGATTCAGGGTTTAACGCGTGAAAATCGATATCGTAGTTTCAAGCTCTCTGCCCATCGGTGGCTTTTGAAAGAGGTTCTCTCAAACGGAGAACTAGGCAACATGAGAATGTTCTAGTAAGATGAATCGGCAGGCAGGGGTCGAAGCATTTGGTAAAGCTGTTCATAATATCAACTAAATCAGTAAAGAACTCGGATACTCGGTGCACCGGAGCTAATAATTACCATTTGCTCCCTGTTTTTCAAAACATTGATGGTCCTAGTCTTGGCCCCACAAATAGAGTGTGGAACCGTTCACCGAGGATCTGGATCGAAACCGCACCTCCCACTGTCATTTGTTGAATTGTGGCTTGGAAGCCATAGGGCCGTAGATAAGGATTCGGCGAAATACCACTACAAAATGGGTATTCGCAATGACCGTCGCATTCAATAAATACCTGATATGAGAAACAAAAGCATCATCGCCAGGGGAATAGTTTGACTGCCGGGAATAGACCTTCTGGCCCAGACAGGAGACGTTGCAGCATCGCAGTTCGTAACCGAGGGGCAGAGATTGTCGTTATATGTGACGCACCTCCGCATATGACACATATTTAAATGTCCCCATTCAAATTTGTAACCGTAGAGTTATTCTGTAAAGTACCAGAGTGTGGCCGGCACTGTTACTCGTACGATGTGCCAAGACTTGAGCCTTCGATATTGAAGGCATGCAGCATAGAATATTGCTGCAAAGGCGCAAGCAAATAATGCATATGATCCTGTGCAAATATTAGACATAGCCATGGAGAGCACAAACCATGTAGCGTGCATACTTCATTATAGAAATGCTGCCGAAGAGCAGGGGCTAACCTCTGTGCAGGGCAACCCCTGAAGAAGAACAAGTGTGTTTCTCCAGGGAAAGCGCAGGGAAAGCGTATAGTGGTAAAATATGGTCTACAAGCGTTGTGGTTAGAATATTGATAATGAAACAGAAGAATGGAGACGCCAAATATCATGAGATTATGAAATCGGTGGGATGGTGCGATGGTTCCTGGAAGGACCACCAACACACCATCCAGGCAACCCATTCACATCATTTTCTGCCACCGCCTATCTAAAGAAGCATAATGGTGCTTTAATCCTAGACTCCTCCTTTCTTTGAATTGAATTTCTCCAAGTTTTGTATTGAATCCCGGTGACTATGTATTCAAATTCGTAGTATTTGCAATGAAGCTCAATCGACTTTTGTGTTGAACTCTTATGACTTGGTATTAAATTTCTACCAATTTTGGATTGAAGCTGCACGCACTTTGGTGTTGATTCCTATAACTCTGTATTCAATTTTATAGATTTGTATTGAGTGGCTACACGCCTTTTATTGAAGGTCTCAGTTCCATATATCGTTCCAACTCCGATGCTATGCATCAAAGTCCCGAGTCAGAGGTCCCGTTGGCAGTCCCTCGCGGAACAAGTCCCCAGTAAGCACGGCACAGTCTGTTATTTCAATTGCAAGATGGCGGAGATTTACATGTTGCATCGGGTCTCCGCACGTTGAACTAATATACTAAATGGTGTATGTCTGAATACAGGGGCCAGGGTGCGTCTATCTAGTAGTTAAAGTGAAAATCCTTGCGTGACCCTGGTCATCCTAACTCCCCTGGCTATCCTACTAGTTATTGATCATTTGTATTAATAGCTTATATAATACTTGAGCGGCGGTATCAACTTCCGGGAGCCTTCTACAGGCAGTATATCGAAAATATAGTATCTCTTTATCTTAAAAAGCCCTCAGCCCCTAAGAGATTACTTACCATCCAATCTACTCTTCTTCTAAGCCCTTCTCAAGGTCTTTTATATAAAGCTCCTATGAACTCAATTTGTAAAGATCTCGATAGATAGATCAGTGTTAGGAGGCATAGTTCTAGTCCGTCGTAAGTATTCCCATACAAAACAGACAAACAGCTGGCCTGGCATGAGCTGACCACTGGACTAAAAAGCGTGCAATTGAATAGTGGAAGTCAACTCCAGCGACCAACAGTTAATCCTATACTCTCTATCACATCTAGGTTTTCAGATCGGAATAAACTCACAGTATGGCATCGAATAGTCGCCCACAACCCCGACTCAGTTGGCGGATGCGCCTCCTGCGATTTATTTACCTGTATAAGTCACCGCTCGGTCTACGTGGCAGCCTCATCCGTCTTCGCCACCAACACAGATATTCCTTCTTGGCTCTTCTTCACCTCTTTCTGCCACTACCGGCATGGCACTTTTATCTTCCAGACCCGGTTCCTTCCAAAGATATCCTCAATGATACGTCCCTCTTTGACTCTCGACAACCCCCTGCGGAGTTAATCAAATGCGGTGCAGTCCGGTCTGGCGCGCAAGAGACACTCCTCTGCGCTACCTTTACCGAATGTATGAAGCAATGGCTGCTCGCCAATACCCGGCCCTACCCTCAGAAGTAGAGTACTTCTGGGGCCAGGTACGGCAGTCGTGGACGATTTGCTGCATACCAGACCCCGATGATCGTGATCCCATTCGGTACGCTATTCTTGCCTCTACTGCAGAAGAACTTGCCGATGCTTTCAACTGGCGGTTGGGTCTGGGACTGCGACGTGATAGAGCCAAGAATATCTACCGCAACACGCTTGATGATGAACTTCCGCCATGTGAATCAGAAATCGCTCCTGACTGGACTCAGAATGGGCCTGCAATTGATTACCACTGGATTAGAAATTTACCAGACAACCTGCAAGACTCATCGGGCAGACTAGTACTCGAAGAGGGTGGGCGGAATTATAACTTCGCAAAGAGGAATATTATAACTAATACTGGCTACTTTCGCACAGTCTAGGGTTTTTAGATAATCCTATCTGCATTATAAGCAAAAGCATCCTTGTCAAATTTCGTTCTACATGGTAAAAGTCCACGATGTTCAGGTGAGGCCGCCGGCGATCGAATGTTTACGGGAATCTAGAGCTAGTGTCCGATATCTTGGTGTTGAGACAGGTTCTCCTGCTTCTAAGAGGATTCACTGCGTTTGATAACTGTTAGTTGAGAGTATACCAATGTTCGACAAAGAAACCACAAAATTGGGGGAATATCTATATGTCTATGTTCAATGTGTACATCGCAACCTGGCTCACTATTCTTCAAATTCAACGGACTCTGTATGTGAGTATCCGCCCCTTCTCTCCCCAGAGCTGTATTAAAGGCTTTTCCAAGTCGAACGAGATCATCATGGTACGCTTTCGAAATGAGAGGCAACAATCGGGTTCTTCTTGGGATCATCAGAATCAATATCGCCCATACTGTCGATGGGGAATGCAGCCCACTTCCTAGCTGGCACACGCAGGTCAAACAGCCGTGCAATCTCCCAGTTCGAGCGGCCCGTAGTCTCAGCAACGCAGAACCAGACCCATATGAGAGAGGTAAGGGTGGTTCCCGCATAGACAAACCCGACCATTGGGCCGAGGCCAGCATTATAGTAGAGATACGGGGCAGTGAATGAGATAACCCACGCAGTGAAGTAAAATGTCACAATAGAGACCGACATGATCTTATTCTGGTTGGGGCCGACAGCCATCTCGCGGGCCACCGTGTAAGCCACAGTCGAGAGCCCGTAGTTGATGACGCAGACGATCACAAACGAGAAGATCACAATGACCCACTGCGAGGCCGTACTCAATGGATCCTGGGTTCCAATCCCGCCGATAATAACAAAGGCCACTAACATGATGCTGGTGGTCACGAGCAAGTTGAGCCTTCGGGGTACACCGTTTGCCGTCACCATGGATACGGTGACCGCGCATATCTGGAGGATGTTCTGAATCAGTTGCACAAGAAACGGCTCGTCGATTCCGATGGCTTGGACGAACACCACCCCGTAGACGTAGAAGAAGAGGATCCCACACGCTTGCTGCGCGTACATCGCTCCTGCAGACCAAATGACCTTGGTTCGCTCGATCGGGTCGAACAGCAACGCGCCCCATGTGGATTCCTTATCATTTTGCTCGTTGACGCGCTGCAGGCTTTCCAATGTCGCCAGGTCGATGGTCGGATCGTAAGTAGGATCGTTGCGATGCAGCCGACGCAGGACTGATTCGGCTTCAGGGAGCCTCCCCTTTGCCGCATACCAGAGAGGGCTCTCTGGAATAATGGGAAGGGCCGCGAACATGAGTAAGGGAAGCACGATTAGGCCTCCCATAGGTAGCTTGTACGCTAGGGAGCTATCCATGCTCTCTGTCCCTTGACTGAGGCCCGAGGCCACTAGCTGCGAGCAGGATTGCAAAAACTGGTAAGACATAAGCGCAGGGCCACGGATGTCAGTTGGGGCTACTTCGCCGATGTATAAAAGCGAGGTAACGGTAAACTGGCCGACGCCAAGCCCCATCAAAATGCGCCCTACAATAATCACAGCTTCAAAATGGGTATCTGCCACCTGGGCAATACCTCCACAAAGGATACAGAACGAAGCAAGCCAGAAGGTTGATTTCCGACCCCATCGATCGTTGATCGGGGCAGCCAGCATCGCTCCTAATAAATCACCGATGTAGATGGAAGACGCCGTCACCGACTGAAAACTCGAGGACAGGGCCAGGTTACCATTAACGTCTCTCTCGGTCCCGTAATCGTTTTTGAACTGCTGCATGGCAAGTACTCCATTGTAATAAGTGTTGTCGTAGCCATAGACAAGGGCGCCAATGGATGAGACTCCACAGTAAAGCAAGGCCAGTCCATGATCTTTGAGGATTTTTCTAACCTTGTCGAACATCACGGAAACGAAGCTCTGGGAGAATGATTTTTGGAGCACAGACGAGAAGTATCGGGAGCTTCACGGAAGGTATATAACTGAATGACATTGCCGCGTATAGTTTCCGTTTTGTCTGGGGTTAGGGTTCCACCTATTCGGGGTTGCGGGGGTTAAAGAACCTTATTTTGTTCCGCCCCCGAGACGGTTATCCTCCGCTGAGGGTGAGGCGGAGATAGCCACCTAAGATAGTCCAACTCCGTTCCTGCGTTCTTGGTGGAATGGTAAAGCCACAAATAGAAATTGGCCCTACAGTATCCATGAGTCGAAGGCCTACAGCCATTCCTCAATATAGTTGGACTATTTAATTATTTCAGGCCACGATTTATCTAAAAGTTAAGGTTCAGCAACGAGAGTACAACGCCGAATTCAACCATGCAATCAATAGCACTTAACCCGATCTTATTCGGGCAACACAGCCAAACTGGTTCTACAGGTGTCAGACAATTAGATCATTCTAGGTATTTGCGGTTATCCTCTGTCTCATCATGGTAATGTAACCTCTACCATGAAGTATATGGTCCCTCGAGATTCATTACAGGAAAAGCATCGAAGCTGATAGGATTCTCCGCATCCAGATACATCCAAGAAACGTCGTCCATGCCAGCAAACAAGTCCATAGTTTCCAGGTGAGACTGGGTAGCTTGAAAATCACCTGGGCGGCCAGCCAACAGCACATCCACTGACGGTTGGGAATTCACTCCCCCTGCTTCATCTCCAGTAATCCCTTGTCTGTCGGTAAGATTATTATCTTTCTGGGTGGTGTTGAAACGGTTGATCCGCAGGATGTCGAGGCTTGGGAGCTGTTCGAGCGCGGCAGATATTCGATGAGCCAATGATGCCATTGCATCGGCAGAGGCCCATTTCAGCCGTAGCTCCTGCAAAATATCGCAGCCGGTATTAAAATCATGCCGCGCGTCTTCCTGCTCGCTAGATAAACGACTATATCGTAACTGCTGGTAAGAAACAGATAGGGCAAGAGAGGCGGCATATACTACAACTGGAAATGGATGCAATGCATCTAATCGATCAGGATACTGCATATATCGGATCACCTGGATTGCCGAGAGCTGTTGTCGCAGCCTGGCTGGCGTGGGTGAGGGTAATGTCGTGATAGTCTTCAGCCGGTGCGAGAGGATTGCGGTGGCGTGGTAGAAGATATGCAATGTGGCTTTATCAGAAAGGACGGTGTTAGTCAGAGGACAGGTTCAATCGCATCGACTTCACTGACCGATGGTGGAGGATGAAAGTTGCCAAGCGTGCATTTCATCCATGACCTGTTCAAACCCTGGAAAGTCGGTATCCCATCCTGATGCAGGATCCTTAGTTGTGGGTCGATAAAGAGCAATAACTTTGTTGAGGATTTTAGCAATTCGAAAGCATACATCAAACGCGATAGAGCCAGACTCCTGCGGCGTCAGATCAGGAACTGCTATATCGATGTCGGCCATAACGCACGGTCGTGAGTTTGTCGCGGCGTTCAGTCGGTCCAAGGTCCAAAGGCACCAAAAGATCCTCTTTAACTCATTCTTATCGTCATTGGGTCGCGGTAAATGTAGAGCCAGGGACTGAGCGGAATGCATAGCTTGAGCAATACAGCTGGATGATTCATCCATACCCTCACTTCCTTCCTGGTGCAGAGACAATAGACCAAGGATGCGGATGAGGGTGATCTTCTCTAGTGTGGCGCGCGAGAGAGTACCGTGGAGAGAGATACGTATAGCTGGCTACAAAATTCACGAACTGGTACCACAGCGTCCCTGGACTGTAAAAGCTTCAGGTGTTGCCCAGCCCGATTGTCCTTGGCCGCCAGAAGACACACGACATGTACCAAAGGCGAGGGATCGTACCCCGGGTCAATTGTTGCCAGAAGTCCTCTTGATCAAGGAGGGGAATAATAGGATGGATATTGGCAAAGTAAATATCGGATAGCGCTTTTATGGTTGTATAAGGCAAAATGTCGGAGACCGGTGGATGAGATAGCCTGGATCTTCTCGACGGAGATAGTGCTGCAGCTACGGTTGGGGGGTATCCATCGCCGCCAGAGGTACATTTGCTAGAGCGCCGTGGCTGAACCCAAACACCTACTTCTCCCGGTGCCATTTCCTGCGCATCTTCGGGAGTGGTGGTTTCGTCCAAGAGTCTAGCCTCCGGGTTCAAGTCACTAACAAAGCGTGTCGTGTGCGGACTAGGATGAGCATTGAGTCTCAATGATCCTGGTGTTTGTTGTTGTCTTTGTTCTGCCTCTTCTGGCCGGCGTGAAGACGACTGATCTTGTTCTGGCCGACCACCTTGACGCTGGTTTTGACCTTGGATTGGCTCAGAGCTCAGTGACTCGGAGAGCTCCCGGGCGCTTGTCCATTCGATACGGGACTCTGCGCCCGAAATATTGGCCTGAGGGCCCGCTTGAGACTCCGTCAGTACCAGGTTACGTGAAGGGGAAGAAGAGCCCCCAGACGTTCGCAACTGGTGATTGCATCGCCTCTATTCACGCAGGTTAGACTCACGCGTGGCTGGAATGTTGCGACAGCACCGACCTTTTTGCGCCGACACTCGCTACACGCTCTCCGCAATCGGATGCGCCGCGATCGATCAATCATATCATGATACGGCACAAATGTGATATTACCTGACATCTTACCGAGCCTTGATATTTTACAACAGAGGCCGGGGCAGAGGTTCTGATTGCGAAATGGCAAGAGAGACCGAGTAATTGGATCATGGATTCATGTTGACCCACACCGCTCGTTTAGCCTTCGCGAACGCGGGGAATAAAATAAATTAAAAGAATAAAAAGGAAAAAGTATATATAAACAGAGAAAAGGAGGAGACAGGCTACATGGACATCATCTATAACTCTAAAGCCTTTTTTTCTTTTTTCCTCTTCCTTTTCTGTTTTTCTTTCTACATATCCCGAATGGTCCTTGGCCGATCACAATGCCGATGCCGAATCTAGGCCACTCTGTACATGACGCTACGTAAATTGCAGTTAGGTAATATTTTGGTCTAAAAGTAAATCAAGTAAGTACTTTCTTATGTTAGGAAACTATATTTGAATGCGTCCCTCCATCGAGAATAAAGCCCTCGTGGGGGAGGCAAAATTGTGGATGCGGGCCAGAATCTCCTTTCGGAAAGTCTCCACTGGTGCCCTTGCGGCAACCTTCCTAATCGAGGAAGTGAATGAGAGCTCAAGTGTTCAACACCAGAATACGGACTATAGGAATATATGTTCCTAGTTAAGAGTAAAATCCTGACAACAAACTAGTGATATTATAGCTGTAGTATTACACTAGAATTTAATTCATACAAATAGACTAGAGTAAGTTGGAATATTTCGCAAAATCAGAGATATATATTTTCTTGTGAGCAACTTGAAGAAAATGAGTACCTTTCAATTCTGGCTATCGAAATGTACTAATCCAATTAGTGACAACGCAATGTGTAAGAAACATAATATTTGATAATTTCTCCTTATAAATGCACATTCACGCTATGTTATACAGGACATGTATGGAAACCATAATCAGGTTACTCTTGAGTCTTGGCGGAAGTGATAAGCTCTACGAAGTGCCTCGTCCGGAGGGTACAAGTCCGTGGTGACTATAAATCAATCGTACGGGATTATTCCGATAGCCTGCTGAGTCTCCTTATTGATAGTTGGGGGCCCATAAGGATGGAGCGTATTCCAGTCCGCCATTTGCTCTTCCTTTAGCACAAAGTCAGTTGGATCATGCGACTGCATTTGTGTTAGTAATTTCACATTCAACACACAGTCAGTGTGCAAAGCTTACAGTCATGTAGCCTCGCTTGAAGGCCTCTACTTTGCGCTCTCTTTGCTCTTCAGTAAGGAATTCGATGGGTTTATAGCATGTATCTGTCCAATGTTAGGGGGTTATCACGGTAGTCGACAGAGGAAAACTTACAAACAGCCATGCGCTTGTTGTTCCCAAGGGGTGCGGCCCCGTAATGCACGGCGCGCGAATCCCAGAGGACGAAGTCACCGGGATCCATGCTGGGCTTCACCCACTCGCAGCCACGGTTCTTGAACCATTGAAGCTCTTCATCTGTCCAATTGAAAAGGTCCCTCTTGATCCAACCGCCGTCGGGCTACGTCTCTTAGCATGGTTTCTTGTGAAGTTGTGGAAGATGGACTCACGGCTTGATGCTCCTCAAAGTATTGCTTGAATAGAGGGGCGGTGCCTGACATGACTGCGAGACCACCATCATTGGGACCATTTGGAAGCTAATGTAGTTGCTTAGCAAAACCTAGTGAAAAGGGAAAAAAGAGATAAAATCACGTACAAGGTTCAGGAGGCCTTGAATGCAATGCGGCCAAGGTCTGTAGGCACTCTGATCCGACTAAACCCAAATCAATCAGCAGGATGAGAGACACAAGTCGATTTTCTTATACTCACATGCGGCCAGGGTGCTTTGCCGTGATCAGCCTCATCAGGAGTGGGAATAGCAAGCGTGCCTCCGTCTGCCAAGGTCAGCAACAACGTTACAATAGTAACTACATGTGTTTTCATACCAAACGAGACGGTAAGTTTATCGGTACCCCAGATCTTTGCAAAAATATCCCGGACCCCAGGCTCCGATTTACAATCCCAGACAAACTGAGCGTGGGCAAACGAGAAGCTAAACAGGTTTAGTCTCAGCCTCGGTGAAGAGAACCATAACACTCACTGATCAAAGAGCCCCCCGTAGCGATGTCGTGGGATATTCTTTGACTTGTATGTGGACGGGTCATCGCGCTTATATCCCATTTTAAATCCCTCGAGCCAATCCTCGCCCTTTTCGGCATATTTGAGGGCCCTTTCCTTCGGAACTGCCCCCTTCACTAGAGCCCACTATGAATCGGTCAGTTCCCTAAGCAGCCAGTCGACATTGGGATCACTTACACCATGCCGATGAAGGTCATGAAGCCACTGTGGACTTTCAGGAGTGAGGGGTGCAAGCTTTGGGCTTGGTCTGTCAATACCCAAAGGACCGCGAGGGTCTTCCCAGTGGTCCTGTTCAGCCCAAGTCATAACCGTTCGCATCGGTTGAATGACTACCAGATGTGACTGGACCTTTCGGAGAGGTCGTGTTGCACTTCGAGCTAACTCTGTGAATATCATTGTGTCGATTGCGGAATGGTGGTTGCGTTGACATTGTAAAGCCGTGAGTCGGGTGCAGCAATATATGATATTTAGTAGGCGGCCCTTTACTGTTTAGAGTTGGCTTCCGCTGCGGTACACCAAAAAGAGAAGGTCCGAGGCCGCACCTGGATAAGTGGAGATCGTCCATGCTGCTAGTCCTATTGAGCTGGCAATCTATGTCTTCGGCAATAGTTCTTTAGGAATTGCCGCAAAGGCGACTGGGAAACATTGTTGTGTTATGTATTACGATGCTACTGAGTAGGTTAGGACTAGAGTATAGAAGCCTTGACACTGTTTCCTGTCGTTGTTATCAGTTTTTGCTAAGAATGACAGCTGGGGTACCAACGGGACAGTATACAAGGATCATAGTAAGGCAGCAGTAGCCAGTTTCTACACCTTGAGGTGCTTGCCGGGTCCGAGTACTCCAGCTTAGAGCATCAATGACTGGGGGCGATATGTGAAGAACTACTGTAATGGAGCCCATCGCCAAGTGATATAGCCAACGATCCAGCAACTTCCTCATATGCACTAGTCTCACCCTCAGGTATCACACCTCGAACAACCTCAACACCTCCTTTTCTGGTTTCTTCTCTCTTCTCCTTGCAGTCACTCTCAGGTTGTAAAAATTCGATCGAAGGAACGACGTCACTCTTCATATCAGTGATGGCATTACTCTGACTGCGACCTGCCTTAAAAGCCTGTACCAGCTATCTACAATACCTTCATCTCTATCCTTGATCAGGGACTCAGAGCCTTGGGCAAGAGCGTGAGGTTTAGACGTGGTCCGGCCGAGGTCATTATCAACAGAATCTCATTTGGACTACCGTTAGCTGGGATTTTCATGATCAGATATTGAATTGGTCTATAATCGGATTTAGAAGTCTGCTATTGGAAAGATATCAGGAAGCTGCTTGTCTATACGGGTCAGCTGTATTAATCTCTTACACTTTTGTAGGCTATCTGCCACACGGTGATCAGTCATAGTCATTGTTGACGCTGCCTAACTAGGACTGGCGCTGTTGTTCTTCATAAGATATTTCTTCCTACAGTTATGATGATAGATTCAAGCAACTGAAGTAATGGAATAGGAATTCAACCACTTTGGCTGCTTAATATAGTACCCAAACCTGCAGGGTTCCTGAAGGTGTCATTGATCCGAAGCCATTCTACGGCGATTACATTGTCAGCTAAAAGAGGCTTAGAAAGTAGTATCCTTATATGGTTCCGGAAGGCCTCCGTTGGACAAGCCTAGAAGTGGAGTAGGAAGGGTTCAACAGTCTCAAGTATTGCAATCCACCTGCTTGCGCCCACTCGGGAGTGGTACGGCCAGAGGGGGCACTCCTTTACTCCTCCAGGCTCCAACAGCCCCAGTAATATTATGTGAGTTCTGGCGAGCGGCCGCGTACGACGTTAGACAACATTTCTCAAGCCAATCAGGTCCCCCCATATTTCGTATGCCTTGAAGGACAACATACAAACCTTCCTCCTGGCAGCTAACCAGGAAAACACTAGTCTCGCACCACCAACATTCATATCGTGGCCAGTAATATGAATGATATATGAAGGGGAGGAGGTCGATATGCGGGCAGAGGTATAGCCGTTCGGTAGAATATGGCTTCATGGTGCAGTTGGGGCTCACAATTGGCCCTGGTTGGTAGCTGCTCATACGCACATGATACAATGTCTGGGCTTCCAGCTGCTTGTTCTCGTTGAAAGTGACCGTTATGGCAAGGTCAGCTGATACTTCCGGGATATTTGGTATTGAACATCCGTGTAGAAGAGATGGCTGTCCATCTATGATCATCAGTTGGAAAGCATCACGGATGCGCTGGGAGAGTGTCTCTGTAAGTCCTGTGTGCAACCACCTTTCTAACCGGAGTCTGTCAAAAATGGTTAAAGAGAGGCAGGGACACAGATCTATAACTTTTGCCTCAAGTATGCACATCCGGCTCAATGGTGGGCGGGATTTGCTGCCTGTCCAGAACACTGTGCGTGGCTGTAACTTTAAGCATTCCGCACAGTAAGCCCAGTAGTCATCTTCGAGCTGAAGCAAAAGCTGAGTCCTCGGAGAAATCGGTTGAGGCTCCAATAGATCCTCGGACAGCCTGAATGTTTTACAGGCCAACATACTTGCCCACGCTAGCCCTCCGGCTTGAAGGGTGCAGCTAAAGAGTCTGTAAAAAGGCTTGCAGCTGAGCGCGAGACAGACTTGCGACGGGAGCGGCAGAAGTGGGAAAATTTCAAAGATGATGTCAAGGGGGAGATTTAGAAGTGCTGGGATAACTATGTCTTGTGAAACCTGTTGCGGGGGGATAATTATGTCTTGTAAATCCTGATGCGGTGGTGGATGACTCGACCTTGATTTTCCTCTGAGCAATCGAAGGAAACCCCGTATCTTTCGAGCGAGCAAAGGACCCATTGTATTGCATATCATTGATGGGTTTCAGGTGTATTAAACTGGAAGAATCCAGGATGATGGGTAGAGAGAACTCTGACATCCTCGTAATGATCGACCTACGAAGTACGTCAGTAGAAGGGACGGAACGCCGTCAGAGATTGGAAATATTGGCATCACACGTAGAATTCTTGCTGTCATTGTGAAGTCATCCACAGAGATGCATGGACTTGACTACTTTAGGTATCAAGGGATCTGAAAACATAAAAGACACGCAAGGCCTTTACTGAACAGTCTGCACGGATGAAGCGGTCTGGTCAGTCGAGTCCTGGGTACAAAGAGTAGTTCTAGAGAGTTTTCACAACTATCTTTTGGCTCCGATTATGTACGGAGAGCATAAAGATGTACGGAAGCGTCCTCTATTGGGTGACAATCACGTGGACTTTTGTAATTTGTGATATGTCTCAGACCCTCGGTATTGAACTTTTTTGATTAGCACTGGTTTCTAACCAGCAAACAACTCTCAACCAACCATTCTAAACTAAATATCTCCAAGACTCTGAAATCTGTATACAGCCCTTATCCTCCCAAAATACAGGGTTTCAGTAAGTCCATATCCCCCTCAGACAAAGTCGGTCTGAGTAAATGGAAAGGCAATATTATAATCTGGATATAGGACAGTATATCCCAGGAGACTAAGAGAATATAACAAGCGGAAACCAACTCGCTAAAAGACTACCTTTCGGTTCTCACGCCCGCCACCTCCACTGGACCATACGCTGACCGTGCCTTTCGAGATACCCATCGCCGTCCAATACACAATATATAAACCATATAAGACGATTATCTGCCACGGGATACACCTGATTACCAAGGCAAACAAGATTGGTAGCTATAACTCGATGTTGATTTACAGTTTTCGGACAAGACACATCCAGTGCGGTGGGTGAATTGAGATTCGAATGGAACCGAAGTTAGACCTCCGCGGAATGCAGATTATATCCAGTTTAGCTGCTGCGGACGACTTTCATGAAGAGCTTCAACATAGCAGCCATAGCTGGCACTGTGCCAAAAAGCATCCTGGTACCCCTTCTCTCCAGTGGCAGTACTGTCGCGGACGGGTGTCCTTGAGCATCGAGACTTGTATCATACCCGAGCCCAGCTGATTGTGGCCAGCTCGAGCTCAAATAAGTGGGTATATTGTGTCGTGCAGGTCGGGGGGTTCTTGAAGCACCTGGGAGATGCCAGGGCAGGTATACTGCGTGGTAAATAGTTGTCCGAGAATCCAAGACGGACGTCGCCGTGCTTGAGCGCTGCACTTTTCTTCAATACGGCCGATGACAGAGGTCGACAGTACCAGCGGAGCAATAATCGACAATAAGACAGTCAAGCGGGCTCAAGGGTGACTAGATTCACAAATGATTATCTCTTCAACCACTAGCTGGGCGCATCGTTGCCTCCAAACCCACGAGGATGTCACTTATTTTAACTTAAAATGAAGGGATCAGGCGTACTGTATACATTGGGCTACCACTAACTCGATTCTTCTCCGACGAACTGCTAGTGCTACTTTTGTCTTTCCAAACAACGAGTTTCTTCAATCACCAGCAGTCCTATATCGAGAATAGGTGAATGACATCTCTTTCACGCACCTGCATCCATGATCAGATTACATGGCACCAAGACTCTCGCGAGATACAGGTTGGGCATGGAGTCAGGGATGTTATTGGACAGAAGGCCTTGGATAGGGCACTGTTCACTGAGCCCAAACACACAACAGACAGTGTGTACTGTGTGCTATTCTGAAGCTGGCCACCTACGACCACAGTTCACAAGCTTCATCAGAAAGAACTATTAAACAGAACAGAGGAAAGGGGATCAAGCAATGAAATTTATTGTCGGTATAACAAACTGACATAGGCACGGAGTACATAGCACAGAGGCATGGAATTAGCCCTAAACTGCGCAGATATAATCAATACTTCCATGGTAAAGCAAATTATTAGTGAGTTATAATTATTGGTGCAGTCACGCTTTCAAGATGCAGGTTTCTCAACTCTTCTCGACTGCCCAAATCGTGACGAGATTTGCACTTTCGAACAAATGAACCGATGATCGGGAGAATATTCCTCCAATAAATTGAATACGACAGTTTGAGCATGGTGACGTATAAACCGCCGCTTGACAATTCACAGTTAATATAAAATATACTGTAGCCTCAGGCTTTCTGCTAGACCTGCCTAAATAGGTCTAGCGCTGTTGTTCGAGCGATTTCTCCTCCCAAAACCATGTTGATAGTCGTCACATCCTCAGACGCTGCCAGCGGTGATTCACTTTCTGCAAAGAAATCTTATCAAGGATAAGCTCTTCTGTTGTTATTACCCACAGTACTTTCGATTCTTTCGCTAACATCATTTGCGAGTCATTAGGCCTCCTGTTAATGGACCATCGGGGAAAAGCTGACTCAGCTGGTTACTCCAGGGAGCTGTCGCATAGTAGTCAAATCGCCAGCATTGCCAAGAGAACCAACAGTCGGGTAATTTCATCGATATGCGTTCTCGGTTGCTGTCGCCTTTGCCCCATG